CTCATTTCACCCACAACCCATTTGACTCAATAACTCATGTGATCCATCAACTCATTTGAGTCAAAATTTTCAACTCATTAGGATTCATGGGTTGAGTTGAGTTGAGTTGACCCATAAATCTTGACCAATTTTGACATCTCTATCTCCATTAGTAGTTTCTCACCAAAAAACTTTAATAAAAATTAAATTAAAAACATTAAAATAATATTTTATTAACCAATTTTTTTAGAAATGTTTCGCATGTGATAAATCATGAGAAACGCACTCTCTCTTCTATATGTCACTTTCTTATTAGTTTACTTTCTTTATAACAAAATCAAATAATATATTGTTTATAACAATAATTAAATATTTTATATGTTGATATTTTTTAATTTAACTTTTTTAAAAATTCATAAAATGAAATTATCTATATATCAAGCTCCATTATATATAAGTTTAAATTATATAATAATATTATTTTAAATTGGTGTTAGTTAAGCTTAATACATAATATTAAATTAATATTATTTTAACTAATATAATAATATTATATTAAAAACAAAAGTTACAATTTAAAAATTAAAATGCTTAAGAATAGAACCAAGTTAACTATATTGTCTATTATAGCTTTATATATTTGTATTTATATTTTAATTTATGTTATCATGGTTTTATATGTAATTTATATATCTTTTATCATGGTTTTATATGTAATATGTTTAATTGTGGTTTTTAAATTATGAAACTCTTTAATAATATTATTTAATTTTTTTATCATAACAATATTTATAAATATAATATTATATTGATGAGATACCTATAAGATATCTCACCAATAGATGTACAATTTTAGTATGAGTTTCTCTAAATAAATAAAACATAAAAATATTAATATTATATTAGTGAGATAGCCATAGAGTATCTCACCAATAGAGATGCTTTTATGACTTTGTTATCCGATGCGAGTTTTTCGATTTTGCTGGTTGACTCGGTTTAGTCGGAGTTTGATACGGCCTAAAAGATTTTTGACAAAATAACTTTTTAAAGGTCCTTAATTACAGGTTAACTATTGAAAGACTAGTTGAATTTGACTTGGTTTCTAGATAGAAAATTTTATTTTACTTGATTTATATATAAAATTTTACTTTATTTGGTGAATGATTTGATCATAAAAAGTGATTTAATATATAGTAACATTATATATATAGCTAACATTCAATTAAGACATCCATTATATACAGTATACCCTTTATAAATTAATATTTCGATAAATCAATGCATTTTTTCTGTCCCAAATTTGTTTTGAGATAATTAGGATATCAATAAACTAATAATTCGATAAATTAATAAAATATTATAGTGCTAACTATATTAATTTATAGAGATTTTACTGTATCAAGTTATCATGAAGAAATTGATTTTTTTTTTTTTTCCTTTTAAGAAATTGATCATGATATGTCATATGATTTAGTGTGCACGTGATTTTTTTTTTTTTTTTTTGGTGAATGGTAATTCTAGACATAAATTTATAGTCTTTTTCTCCAGAGTAGATGACACACATGGCAATATTATCTCTCGAAATTTTTAGTTCAAAGTTTCTAATATCTTTAAATTAATATACTTTGGCATAACCTTAAAGTATACGTGAAGTATATAATGTCTAGATCAATTATATATCTATTTTAAGTTCTAACCAATGGAATAAAAAAATCCAAAAGCATTATTTTCGTAAAGACAAAAGAGCTCTTTGGTGGAGTCATTGGTAATTCATATTGCCTGAAAAATGAAAATGATGTGATATATCAATTGGTTCTTTCTTTTGCATAAAATCTGCATCCTGTCACCATTTCTTGGGATTTTGCAAAGATTTTATGAAGGACTTAGGTTATGACTTCTATCATCAATAATGTAGAATAATAGGAAAATGTTACATTTCAAACAAAATAATAGCTTTTGGACTGGACTAGATAACTTTGTTTGTCTATTACAATAAATACACAAATAGACAGCAAAAATAATTGGTATATTGAGAGGCCATGGCAGCCGTTGGATGTCGCATTCGTATGAAACGTTGTTTTCAAAGTTCCTATTCTTTCACTGTATAATATATTAATATATGCAGTTATATATACTCATGAGTGATGTTGATAAAGATACTTACTATTTTTTATGGAAGCATATTTTTGCTAAATAGTTTTATATTTGTGAGATAAACACAAAATTAATGATACTTTTTCGAAATACCTCAGATAAGGCCTGTAATTATACTGGGCCTCGATACGAAATCGCCAAGTTTTACGATTTATCTAAATAAGTGCCCCTTTTTCTTACAAAGTTTTTATTTGTTTTCTGAAATCTCCTGCACTATCTTGGTTAAGTCTCATTTGTTTCTATTTTCTCACATTCATCCTTTTGCCATAAACAGTCATATGAAATCCATCGATATATGGATTGACGTTTTGGTTTGAAGATTCAATACTTCGAATCATGTGCTTGGTTTATAATTTGTTTTGTGGATTTCATTTTCTAGGTAGTGTGTCGATACATTATCATTTGATTGTCTTGCAGTAATTTTGTGTAGTTATGATGGACGAATTTCAGAGTATAAATCATTGCAAATTTTTTTAATAAGTGGGCTTATTTTTTTTTTATAGGCCCATATTGTAAATCTCAAATATGTAGCTCAGTCCATATTCCTTGCTCCACCTAACTTTTCTACGTTGTTGGTTTAGTGAGACTTTTTTTGTTTTGTTGATTAAGAAAGTGGTTTAGTGAAAACTTTCCTTTCACTCTAGTATCTCTCTCTCTCTTTTTGTGTGTTATATGAGACTATGAGAGTCTATAAAGATTTGTTGTGAATCCATTACATGTAAGATATAAGGAATCTGGGATTTCAATTATGGGATGTTGATCAATTATTCTAAAAACTGTCTCACGGTATAAATAACTATGGTTTTGTTTGAGTAAATAATTATAATTTTTTTACATCAAATGTTAACAGTTTTTATCAATAGAAGATAAAAAAATTTCAATGATTGACATTCTGAATGGTGACTGCAATTGTATACGGAAATAGCAGGAAAAACATACGAAAAACGAGAAAACAGTTTGTCCGAATAGTAAATTATAAAGTAGATGCAATCATATATATAATTAAAGTACAAGACGTGGTATGGCAAAGTAAAACGTGACGTGGATCTTAGTAAGTATCTACTATCTATGGTTATTTACTTTTTGATAAAATATTATTCAAAACAACGGACCAAACTTCGTGTGTGATGGTTTGGTTACTGCTCGCTGTCTGACTGTCGTTAAGGCAAGCAAAAGCGACATTAATTATAACATAACTAGGACGAAAGCCTAATTAATAATTAACTAGAATATGATAGTATATGTTGTAGAATCATACTTTTGAGGAAAATATTCAGTTAATCAAATGAATGAAGGTATAATTTATAGAGAACTAATTTATATATTGCCAAAGAAATCGTAATATATATTCAACTAATATAACTATATTACAAATTAACAGTAAATTATGTAACTAAAATATATATACTACAAGAAAAAAAGGGATTAGCGACTTCATAGATTTTGTTTTATTATTTATTTATTCAAATTTAATAACGCATAAAAGTTATGAGAAATTAGTATTTGTGCATTGCGTTTATGTCACATAGTCGTTCCCTATGTTTTAAAATTTCTTCTAAAAATCAATATTAAGACTAAATTCTAAACTATATTAAGTTTGATTTTCTTACTTAAATTTTAAGCTTTGTGTTAATGGACAGATTCAAAAACATTATTATATTTTTAAAAAGCATTGTGATTATGTAGTTCATTGTCTTTTAATTCTTGAATACTCACATATATTTTCTTCCACCTACATTGTTGAGCCAATATTTAGATCCTCGGTAGCCTGATTTCAAAAAGAAATTCACATTCATCATAACAATAAACTTTTTTCATTTATTTAACTAAGTTTAAATAATAAACATGGTCATAGATTTTTCACTTTTGTATTACAACACCATTTCACAGTAGAAAGTTTAATTTCGATTTAATAATGTACATTGCACATTATTTTTGACTTCGTATGAGTAATTTGTATTTTTTTTAGGTGAAAAATAAAGTTGGAAAAATTGGCCAGTTATAAAGTTTTTTTGCACAAAACCTATAGAAAATGTGTCTTTGGAATATGTTTTAGATATGATAAAAAGAAAATAAAGAAACAATGTGTATTTGGAATATATTTTAGATATGATAAAGAAAATAAATAAAAAGGTGTCTTTGAAATATTTTTCAAGATATTTTTGATATAATAGTATAATGAAATCTAATGAAAATACATAATGGTGTATTTGAATTTAAGAAGAAAGACAAATGTCAAAGTGAGATATGTCATATGTCAGGTTCTCAAAACTTGTTTTTAGAGGAAATTTACTTTAATATATAATTTTTAATTTAATGAGAAGAAGACAAAGAAAGAAATAGATAACAAATGTGTCTAATTTAATGTTATCTATAAAAAAAAAAAAATTGTGTCTCTTGATTAAAAAAGAAAATAAATAAAAATTGTGCCTCTTTCATATTTTTTAATGATAGAAAAGAAACAAATAAAAAAGGTGTCTTTGGAATATATTTTAGATATGATAAAAAGAAAATAAATAAAAAATGTATCTTTGGAATAGATTTTAGATATGATAAAGAAAATAAATAAAAAGGTGTCTTTGAAATATTGTTTAGATATTTTTAATATAATAATATAATGAAATCTAATGAAAATACATAATGGTGCATTTGAGTCTAATAAAAAAGACACGTGTCAAAAAGAGAGATATATACCACAAGTGAGCTTCTCAAAAATTGATGTTAAAAAAACTTTACTTTATTATATAAGATTTATAATATACAAATTAAGATAAAAACAATTATCATATTGCCTTACTTTTTGGCCTGCATATATTTCTTGTTAACCAAAAATAATTGTGTTGCTTCATTTTATTTATGTCACAACAATATAAATAAGAAAGATAGGGTAAACATTTTTAATCAAAAGCAAAAGAAAATGAAAATGATTGTGAAACTCTCTCAGATAAAAATGGTGGTTACTCTGTTTCTTCTTGCATTTGGCCTTGCTCAGGCTCGATTTCCAACTTTCCCAACCGAGCCATTTCCTCCTCCACCAAACCGAAGTGTAAAGACCTCAGTGAACCAATTCCCAGGCGTAACACCTCCATTTTTCCCTCCAGGACACAAAAAACATCCACCAGTTCCCAGGCATGAAGCTAAGAATGCGAAGATGTCAATGAACTAGTATTTAAACATACATTTTGTCTTTCGGGTTATAAAAGTTGCACCCTATAAACTAATATGTTTTTAAACTAAAATAAATATAATACATGACAATGTAAAACTTGTTTGGTATTATTGTGCATTTTTATATCGTAAATCTATATTAATTTATCCATTTCATAATAATTATCGTTTACATATATATTTTTTAAAGTCTTTTTTTTAGGTTTAAATGAAGACTAAATTTCAGTTTTGTTCTATTACTCTATTTTATTATTAATTAAAGAGGTAAACATATGTAGTGTATATATAAGAGATATAGTAGACTGATAACATATCAAATAAAATCTAATGTGCACACTAGCACAATCGACTAGTATGTAGATACAACACTTAGATATCGAATACAGAAAGACCAAAAGTCACACTACAAATTTGTTAGAATTGAGTAAAGCTAAGACAATGAAGAGATTTTAGTTGTTTTTCCTAAATTAAGCAAATAAAAAATGACATAAATCAATAAGATAAAAATACTAGACAAAGAAAAATCTCAGAAGTTCATAAAAACATAAATCGGATAATTAAACACGAATCAGACTAAGCGTCATTCGTCATTCTTGAATTCAAATCACTAAGGTAAATTTAACCCGCCCTCATAACATTAACTATCTAAGCGATGAATTCCCTAGAATCTAAACACTCGTTTGATTTTAAAAAATTCAAGCCAGCATTAATTAAATTTTCAAGTTTGATTTGTTCACAAAATGTCTTAACTTCAACTCTTGTTGGCTAAGGACGTTTCACTCACCTATGTTCTTTCGAACAATTCAACAACATACTGGTGCCCCGATGAATTAAACATAAGATCAGAATCTAGGTGATCAATCTCACAGTAGGTAATATAATGTAAAAAACTGTTTTGCCTTCAAACAAGAATGAACAAAATACAGAGATCCGAAGTAAAGGTTTCAAGGTGGAAACTTACATAATCTGGGGAATTTCTACTTTGCACTCTTCATTAGCTCGATTCCAAAACCTCCTTTATGTACTTGACCATGAGTTTAATCAACATTCGTAACTCTGTATTTCAAGATCCAAAGGAATTTTTAATATCCCATTTTTGTCTTCCTACATAGATTCAGTGAAAATGTGTGCTCTCGCCGAAGGAATATCGATAACGAACCAAACAATACATGCATTTATCTAGGCTCTTTAACACCAAACATGATTTTACCGTAGTAAATCCTAAGAAAAGAAAACCAAAAATGCAGAAAAAGAAAGAAAAATATAAAAATAAAAAACTATGTGGGTTGCCTCCCATAAGTGCTTGTTTAAGGTGTATATTTTGAAAATATTAATCATGTTAGATAACACATAATTGTTCAGAGATAGAATTCATATCAAATAAATTTATTACTAGAATCTACTTTGAAATAATCATTGATGGTTGGATGTTCATGAGGATTAAATGCATTTAATGGAAAAATAAAATCAATTTGAGGTTTAAATGAGGTTTTAACGAAATAATCAACTTCATCCCCATTAATCTCATAAAACACAATGTCTTTATTTATATAATCAACTTCATGATCTTTAATCTCATGCAAAATCTTATCAATATGACGCACAACTTTTAGATATGATTCTTTAAGAAGAGATTTTTTAGATAATTTAGGCATTGAAAACTTAAGGCCGAAATTATAAACACCAGGGTAAAAACCCGCGCTCCGCAGCGGGAAAGTTTTGTAAAGTGTAATCCTTTAGTTTAGTTCTTAAATCATTTCTACTTATATAACTAACAATCTTAGCTAGCTAACAATGAATAAACAAAAAAACTTCATTGAAAGAGTTTTTGTTACTCTTGTTTATTTTGTAAATTCTATAAGATATATAAGCCCTCAATTGTTTTTGTTAAACCCTCAACTCCGTAAGTTCTCAATCAAATCTTCGTGTTATCTTCCCTAGCCATCATAATCTGCTTTTGAGGCACATAAAGAAGAGAGAGCCACATCAGGCTTAATTTCTCTCCGAACTTTTATACGGGTTCGTCTTGGTCCTCGATTCACCAGAACCACTGAATTTCATCTTCAGTTTAGCATCCATGAAATTTCAAACACGTCGAGAGGATAAAAATTGATGAAACAAAAGTGCTTCATCTTTATTATTATAACTGAAATAGGTAAATCTTTTTATGTGCTCAATAGTAAGCAAAAGAAGAGAATTATTGAGAATACAAAACTTCAACAAACTAATAATAATGCAAGATCAAGAGACAACTTTGAGACTTTGCGGTAGAAAGACCAGTCAGAAATAGAAGGAATGGATCATGGGCTGTCCAACATAATGCTCTTTTATGTAAGTCTGAACATCCGATGATTTTGCTAAACCGTCCAAGTAAGAACAAAATTCTCCTTCTACATCTAACAGAAACAAAAAAAGCATGTCTAAATATAATTGATGAACATCAACAGTTTAAAGTTGTTTTGCATATCAAGTAAGTTATCCTTTTTGTTAAAAGGATCATAGCTCATTGGGACAAGATATGTATTGTCCTGAATGCACATCAACATTGATTAAAGTTAGGAACAAGATTTACAGACTCATCGATAAACAACAATACTATAGAGATTATAGTGATTTACAAGATTATGAAGAGCTTTATAGGGTCCACAATCAATGAAGATAGTGTTTGATGTAAAGAACCCTTTGAAGCACTAAAACACTTTAGAGAGATTTTTAAAGAACAAAGGCTTTAGTTGGTCTTGATTCTTTTCTCCACTTAAGAATATAAGAATCTAAGATTCCCAATTTACAATCACATGGATCACCAGACAATTAATCATTAAGAGCTATGATGTCATCAATTTGAACTTGCAACCTTTCTGCTGCTCTCAATAGAAAATTGGAATTTTTTTACAATCATCAGTCATGAAGAGAAACTCTTCTACCTCAGGCCTCATCGTCGCCATTGGAAGTAAATTAGACTGTTAGTATATGTTTCTTCAATTTCTCGGCGCCAACATCATGCTTCCCCCAAAAAGAAATCTTACATTTGCCCTTAAAGCTCACAACTTTCACATATTTATAAACAAAATCACGCTTTTTCACAGCACAACCATCAATGTGATGTAAGAACCTCACTAAATCTCTGCTCAATGATCTTTTCCCATCTCGTATCATTGAATCAACCCTACCCTAAGAGAGAAACACTAAAACTCAAAGACTGCAATAGATATAACTTTTACAAGAGTTCAGAGTGGATCTTTAGAACTTCGTACCTGAATTGAATCAAGTTGCAGAAGAAAAATGCGTAGCCTCTCGAGAAACAGCTTCATAAGGAAAATGTGTTTTGCTAGCTGTTTGAGTTGTTTGAGAGATATAGATCTGTGAACCAAGTAAGACCGGAAAAATGGTTTGAAGTACACAAGCCATCGAATCTTTCAGTGTAGAGTATGAATCACGATCATGAAAGGCCGAGAATCGATTGAGAGACAAGTGAAGATCGTCGATTTTGCGGCTCTAATTCATCAAAGTCAGCTTCAATAATGAATCCACGTTTGGCTCAAAGCTTATGGTTTTTTACTAATCCTGCAAAATTTAGTAATCACCATATCAAATTATCAATGATCTTCAATACGTCGAACACATGGACAATTCTCTCATTCACATGATCTTCTAAGAATGGGGCGAATATTCTTTAATTCACAGGGACAATCCATCAAACACATAGTGTGCAACATTAAAATTCACTAACCTTCCTCACGAAGCTTTAATCAAAATCTCTGATCGACGGATCGAACCTAAGGATTGACCGGATTGAGTTATCCATCTTTGTATTCGTCTTAGTCTTCGTTAATTTGTTAGGATTTGAAATCGAGAAAAAAGTAAGGATGCAGATGAGAGCACGTTTGGGGTTATTGTGTCGATTATAAGCCTAAGATTTTAAAAGCCCAAGATTTAAAAAAACAAAGATGAGCATGTATAAATTTAAAAACCCAAGATAGTGATATTAGAAAAATGATGTGGAAAAGCGAATGACTTTTATTGGACGAAAATGATGAGCTGTATTAATTGTTATAATTTGATTGGATAAAATTTTCAGTGATGTGTCATGCTGAGAACATCTGAAAAAGCTTATATGTTAACCCTGGAGAGACTCTTAGCAGTTTTATTATATTGATTTCAAACATAATAATATTCAATATTAAAACATATTTTACAATAATCTCTAGCAAATTTTTGTGTTCTTAAATTATTTACTCATTAAAACATATATTAAATCAAAATATTTATAAAAAATATGAGAGTATGCAAACTAGAAGTCATATATTCAATGCATAGTTTATGAATATTTTTGAAATCATAAAATTTTAAGGGTTGAAGACGCATATACCTTTTGATTGGCTTGGTGGACACTACAAGAAATATCTACATTATTAGCAAGAGAGAAGAGCTATTATATGTCATCAATAGCGTTTTCATAAACGCTGTCTTATGCCCATGTTATAGTAGACCCCCCATATACGATAGCGTTTTTTCCGTATGCTATGATAGAGTACTCTACCATAGCATTAGTAAAACGCTTTGTTATATCGCCTTTCTATTTGTTATAAATTATGTGATAAGTCATTTTTCATGCTATGTTAGATGCTCATTTTAAAGTTTAAACGCTATAATATATTTTGTTATGACTCTTATTTTATGCAATAATACTTGCGTTTTATGTGCATATTATTTCACATTTGCGAAAACCTCTTTTAAAATTTATATAAAATATTTACATTTCGTAAATCATCCACACCATACAAGTAAAATGTCTCAATCCAAGGCTTAAACTAAGATTACAAGTACCAAAATTAACAAACTTGTTCTCATATCTAAGCTGAGCCTAATTTCTAATATGTGTAGATTTTGGGCTACACTCACTTGGGACTTGACTTGAGACTGCACTTGAGACTGCACTTGAGATAGCAAAATCTTGGGCTGCACTCACTTGAGACAGCAAAACAAATTAGCTCTGACAAAGAACATTTATAATTTATCCACAAAACAATCACAACCACAGTAAACTACTAAAACCAACAAAAGAGATAGAGATAAGATGTATCATTTACTCACTTCTTCTTGTCAATGTAAGGAACATCACTCTGTCTAGCCTTCCCATATTCACCTTTATTCAGTTACTAATTAGAAACATAAACTAACATTGTAAAGGGAAAGTTTAGAAAACATACGGGAACTTTGTTGGGGTTCGCTCTTATACGAGTAGATTCAGCCATTCTCATCTCTGAGATCAAAAAAATGCCATAAAATTTAGTCACAGCTAATGGATCATACAAACACATGAACACATCTTATAGCTTAAAGACATGTGATCTAAGGAAAGCTGCACAAAAGAAAAAAAAAATACATGAGGACAGCAAGTAAGAAAACGTTTACTCACCTCTTTATTTGTCTCTTCTTTGCTCTTTACCTCATGTGAAGGATCTAAGTAAGAAAAAAAAACAAGTATCATTATGAATAATAGATGTTAACTACAACTAAGACAAGTCTTGAATATAAAACTGAATATCATGAACCACGAACTCTAACCATTAACATCCCACAAATTGATGTTTCAGAAACCAAACCAATTAAACAAGTTTGATGCTACCTTCACTATCAATATTCTTTCACCTGAATTCTGCATCAATTGCTTTACTATATAGTATATATGTATCGCAAAAACAGATCCATTCTTAAAGAAACCACAAGAATTTAAAGGCAAAACCTAACCTTCCATGGAGAGCTTCCGCTCTTTCAATAAAACATGGGCTGTGTATAAACAAATGAAAAAGACCAAATTAAACTCCCAATAAACGTCCAAAGAAGCAAAAGTTTCTTAATAAACGTATCATGTTAATTACTTAATAAACTTCTATGCTCTAATTAACAACACACTAATTTTTAAAACCTCCGTTGTCGGAAATACACATGATTGTGGATAAGAAAATACATAAGTTAAGTTACACATGATCAATCAAACCAATGAAACAAACAGAGAACAATTATCATAAAAGACTTCTCCTTGTTTTGTTAGCTTGACGAGAAGCTGGAGGTAGATTAAGGAGCATTTTTTTGGTCTTCTAGCTACTGTCTCCTGCTATAAGAGCGATACCATACAAAAACAATGAGAAAACCCAATTCAAAACCTCAAAATTTCAGAAAAAGACCATCCACATTCAAATCCATAACCTAAAGAATGTTACAGATACCTTATTCGAAATCTTTGAAATCAAGTTCGTAAACGAAAACTTCATCATTAAAGATAGATGGAGAAACAAATCAAAGGGGAAAGGGAGACGGAACCAACAAACCTTATTCAAAATCTACAAAATCGATCCAAAGAAAAAAGGGAGACGGAACGAATTTGAAGACTAAGGTCATTACAAACCCAGACCACGAAACCCTAATCCCAAACGCAGATTCAAAGGGGGAAAGGGAGACGGAACCAACAAACCTTCTCTGAACGAAACCAGCTTCTCTTTTTGTTCTGATATAGAGAAATCCAAACCTAAAGAAACTTTCGATATATAAAGGAGAAGAACAATGAAGAATTTTGATTGTAAAAAGCCGATTTAGGGTTTGGGTGAGCTTGGTCGGAGGAAAGGTGGCTGAGAGGGAGGAGGTGACTGAGAGAGAGGAGGGTGGGGGAGACGGTTCAGCTATAGCGGCGGAGACGGTGGAGGAATAGATAAAAGACACCGAGGTAGATGGAGGAGAAGATGGTTGCTCTCGAGAGCTGTTTTTTTTTTTCTTTTGGTAAAAGTTTTTTTTTTTTTTTGGTCTCGTGAGCTGTCCTAATGTAAAGGGAAATGTTAGTTTTTTTCACAAGTGTCGGCGCTTAACTAAATATTTTGGGCTAAATATTAGCGGAATAAATGATTTTAGCTTTCCGCTTAGTGATGTTCTATCTTAGCGTTGTTTCAATGCTATTATATAATAACTAAAATAAAATTTTATCTTTCATAGCAGTTACGGAAAATGAGTTATCCTCTTGTGCTATCAATGTGGATATTTGTTGTAGTGGGAATGTGGTTGGACGACGCAGGTCCGGTCTGCTCATATAGCAGCCAAAGCAGCTACTTTAAGCCTCCAAATATAAAAAAATGTTTTAGGGCAATATTATCAAGAGACTTGTTTGGTTTGATTGTTATGTATCAAGTATATTAGTACTATATTAGTGTCAAGTGCTGAGTTTGACTCCTATTTTTACAGTTTTGTCTTTTTTCCCTTTTTTTGTGATGGGAGAGAATTGTTTTAATTTACTATTTAATTCTTTCTTCTTACAAGAAAATCTCTAAATATTTGATATAACTTGGTTAAGAATATTATAATATTTACACCAAAAAAAAAAGAATATTATAATATATATTTAGAAATCTCTAAATATTTGATAGCGCTTCTTCTAATGCTTTTTTTTAGTATTTTAATAATAAAATTTTAATCTTAGTTTTTATGTAAAATTATATTATTTAAGTATATTTTATACCATCAAAATCCAAGAACTATTGCGGTTTTGTCCTCTGTGTAGGAAAAGGGGTCACGAGAGCTCGTTGAATTTTAAAAGGTCAAGAGCTACAGATAGTTTTGTGATTTTTTTGTTTCTATTTTGGTCCAACTATTCATGTTTTTGTTTTGGTCCAATTATTATTTTTGATATCAAAATATATCAGAAGAAAACAGACTACATCTATATGAAAGGCTAAAAAGATCACGCGTTGCAGATGAAGACAAAGTGCTATGGACGGTGGAGTATACCCGCCGCAAATTTCTTATGTATCTAAGGCTCTTAGCCTTGTTTCTTAAAAATTTTAAGCCCAAATTTAAATCAAAACAGTTCTTAAATCCAAGCAACGTTTCTTGGTTTAGAGTTTTTTGGCCTCTTAAGGTGCGCTGACGTGGCATCGTTCTATTGGTTCGTAATCTGAGAAAACAGAAAAAAAAAACTCACCCGATTCATTTTTCTCGCGTCTCTCTCTCTCACCTTGTTCTCTTCGTCGGCGATTTTCTGAGAGATCGGCGTTGAGCTTCAGAAACCGGCGTATACATCATCAAATTAGGAGCTAAAGGCGAACCAAAGTTGATTGCTCTCGGGAGAGAACGGTGTTGAGCTTCAGAAACCGACCTAATCAGTGCTCGAGTCTAATAAAATCGGAGAGTTAGTCGATTCCATGCTCCAATCGCTTTATCACGGTACGAATCTCTCTGTTTAGTTGTTACGGTGACTTTTGATTAGGGTTATTAGCTGTAATCAAAATTAGGGTTTGTCAATTGAGATTTGATTTTCTAGAAATTAGGGTTTTTGATTTGTAAACGCAATTTTGGGTATAATCAGTCTATTAATCTGTTATTAGTCATCTTCTAAGACGATTGGTGCTATAGATGTAATCTTATGGAGTTTGGAAATGGGAGCTTCGAGTATACTTGTGTACGCTTATGGAGTTACAATAGATGTAATCAATGTTAGGCAATATAAAGAGTGAATTTTTTTTTGGGGTTTATATATGTTTTATGCTCTGCAAAGTTCTTGTCTTTGCTACATGGGTTTGTTTGTGATTTGATTTTGCATACATTTACTTGTTCATTAAGTAACTAAATCTGCAGAATTGATTCAATCTCTGTTGTTGTTTGTTACTGTTGTCTAACTGGATTTTTCTTTCTTAGTTCTTTGTGATAGGTCATGATTGTGCACATAATGAAGTGGATGATGTAAAGACTGACCTAATGTAAAGATAAAGAAAGCACTCTGTCCTCCAAAAATTGTGCAAGTGAGTTCTTCCTCTTTTTCTATTACTTCCTGAGATGCTGTGTGATTAATGCATTTAGATACATCATTTTTTTTATTTTCTGCTGTGTGATTAATGCATCTTTGATACAAAACGATTATGACTTGTTTATTTTCTGCTGTGTGATTAATGTGGTTAGAGCTAATTTTGAGTTCTTGAAGAAACTTGGAGTTGATTGGTGGTGTTTTCATGATTAATGTAGTTCCGTCTTTAATTGAATGCATTGTGATAAATGATTATGACTTGTTTAGATTAGGTTAAAGTCTGAGTTCAGTTTAATAGGTAAAGAGTTCAGTTTTTAATTGAAAGCATTGTGATAAATGATTATGACTTGTTTAGATTAGGTTAAAGTCTGAGAAGTCTAAATCATACTTATTAGTATGTCATTGATTGCTTCTCTTTGATTGCATATATTTGATTGATTGCTCTGTGATTTGATTAGGCTAGATAAAAGTTAATAATGTTATTGATTGCTCTTTGTGATCAATGCTTTAACCTAACATCCAACCATAACTTCAGTCGTTTTAAACACTGAAGCTCTTTTTTACACTAACTACTGAAGCTATTTATTTCCCTCACTTGTCTTCTAAAAACAGTGAACCTTAAACACAAACCAGAAAAAACTTAATCTCTTTCCCTCACTTGTCTTGTTAAAAACACAAACCAGAACCTTCATTGCTTGATATGGATTCAAGGAATACATATACCAATCCTTCAAGCTTTGTAAACCTCTTAAGCAGTCAAGAAGATAATCCCATGTTTCCACCAAATCAGTATGATGGCTTTAGCTTTAGTGCACCTTGGATTGATCCCAGCCAAGCTGAAGTGCCTGTTGCAGACCGCAAAACAAGACGCAAATGGTCACCAACAGATGATGTGATTCTCATTAGTGCCTGGCTCAACACCTCCAAGGATCATGTTGTCTCCAATGAGCAAAAAGCCACAACTTTCTGGCAACGCATAGCCGAGTACGTTGCAGCAAGTCCCAAGCTGAAAGGTCTGCAAAAGAGAGCTCCATTATGCTGTAAACAGAGGTGGGCAAAGATAAATGAGGGGGTCTGCAAGTTTGTAGGAAGCTATGAGGCTGCAACCAAACAGAAAACCAGTGGCCAAAATGAGAATGATGTGGTGACCTTGGCTCACCAGATTTTCTACAATGATCACAAGGCCAAGTTCACCCTTGAGCATGCTTGGAGGGAGCTTCGCCATGATCAGAAGTGGTGCGGATCGTCAACAAGTAAAGACAGTGGGTCAGCAAAGAGAAAAAGGGCTGAGGTCGGCTCTGCACAGGCCTCATCCTCTATGCCAGTCAACACTGAAGAGGAGGAGCCTCGTCCCATTGGTGTTAAGGCAGCCAAAGCCAAAGCCAAAGGAAAGACAACCACTGTGATTGGAGAAGAAGACAAGAGTCTGAAGGAGCTACATTGTATCTGGGAGATTAAGGAGAAAGATTTAGTTTTCAAAGAGAAGCTAATCAAAGAGAAGGAGAAGCTTAGTAGGACTAAACTGCTTGACACTTTGATGCTAAAAACAGAGCCTCTAACTGACATAGAGATGACTCTTAAGAACAAGCTCATAATGGATATGTTGTCCTAAGCTTAAGTTTGTTTTTATTTTCTGATTAAGCTAAGTATGTTTTATTTTCTGTTTTAAGTTTAACTATGTCTTTAGTTTCTGTTTGAAGTATGTCTGAATGTGTTTTGCTATTAATGAAATGATTTCTGTTTAAGCTAAGTATGCTTGTCTTCAACTGAAACAAAACTAACATGAATGTTAACTTAAACTGAATGTTAACTTAAACTGAATGATAACTAACTTGAATGTTAACTTGCAGGACGTGGAAGAACAAGCTCATAACTGTTTTAAGATTAATGAATGAAGTTTGTGGTTCTGTTTTAAGTGTAAGTATGTTCTATTAATGTTTTCTTAAAGTTTCTGAATGTTTTGTGCTTCTGTTTTATGTTTCTGGTTTGTGTATGATGCAGGTGAGCCGACATCACTTGTGTAAGAGACACATGTGACACCAATGCTTTTGTGCTTTAGTGCCGACTTCACTTGTGTCTTTTGTATTTGTGTGTCGACATCTCTTAATACAGTCGTGCTCTCTTTTGTGTTTTTATGTCGA